TATATATATATATATATATATATATATATATATATATATATATATATATATATATATATATATATATAATATATATGTATATATATATATATATATATATATATGTATAATCTCTAGCAATGAGCTGGATGAGGGAGCTTGCACTTATCAGGAAGTTGAATGGCGAGATTGGGGTCGATTCCGAGGGAAGGCAAAAGCTTGGAGTTCTTAAAAGTGCAAAGGCACCGTATATCCGCGTGCGATAGAGCCGAGCAGCACCTTGCCGATGGCGGCGGCGGCTGAGGCGGAGTTGCCGACGGCTTGCATGCCATCAGATCCTCCCCTGACATATTGCACACACTTTGACCATAACACACATTTTTATTATTATCATTATTTATGCTGCCTATGATAATTGTCACCAATAATATTGCCTTCACTATTTTTGCTATCTTCTGGTGCAAAATAAAAACCTGCATTTTTTCTTCTTCTAGTGTGTGTGTGTTTTTATTGCTTTGAGAGATTTATTGTGGCTGTTATATATAGGCAAAATTACGGCCCACACCCTTGGGATAAGGTTAAATTACGAAAATACACATTTTGTTTGGATAATTACAACCAATCCCTCAACTATGTATTGTTTTACGAAAAAATCCCTCATTCAGTAGGTAAATTTGAAACCGTAAGAATGAACGTGTAAAACATAATTGAGGGATGGGTGTATTTATCCAAACAATAAGGGTTTTTTCGTAATTTAATCTTGCGGTGGCCGTAATTTACCCTAATATATAGAGAACTGTGTTTAGTATTTGTTGCGTTGTTGGAAATTTGCCTGTCACAAAGACTTGTAAGTCTTTGTGGGACATATATTTATTACATATTGTGTTTTTAGGTACATGTCCTTATTCCATTAGTAAATTTGCTTGACTTCAAGTCTTCCATTTTTTTTTTTCTTCTTTTTTTTTTCTTTGAGAAGAATGATAGTAGTGATAGTTATATTTTGGAAATTGGAACGAAACTTCATATATATGTCTTGTATATGTACATCATATATATAAGTTGGAAATTGGAACGAAACTTCTGAATTTTGTTGATACCGATCCAATTTTTTCAATTTTCCCAAGTCTTTTCTATTTTGGAACAAGTCTTTTCATTCCAATTTTCAGTTTCCACTTTCCGATTTTTTTATTTTTCCTAGGTTTTTCGAAACAAATTTGGAATTAGTTTTTCACTTCATTAAAAAAATGGTTTTTAAGCTCTATTTCGACCTATCCGTCCGACTTTCACACTTATCATATATAGGGTGAAATAAACTTTTAGAGAGTTGTATCCATCTAGGTCTATGAGATGTTATACCTGATGAAAATATATCTGTACAAATAACCACCCAGTGTACACACATACACATGAATACGTGTGACTATGTGTAGATCTACAATTTAAAATGACAGAGTATATTTCATCGAGTGTAGAATCTACATAACCTTCAATCAATTACTACTTAAAGGTAAATTCCGAGTAACTTTTCCGAGGGTGTCACTTGTAGAGGAAATATACACACAAAATTACCATCAATTAATTCTAATAATCCAAACATTTTGACAGAGTCTTCCTCATCTAAGTTTCCAATCTGTGGAATCATCTCCAGCACAATTTCCAATTTCCAATTTGCAGATTAGAAACAAAATCGAAATCCGAATCAAATCGAATCCAGACAGAAACCGATAAACATCACATCACCTGCCAGTAAAGAAAAAAAAAATGCAGCTAAAAAAGGAAGAAGCTACTTCCTCAGACGACGAAAAATTCAAAATCCTATTAAAAGAGTAAATAAAACACGATAATCCGACTAAAACAAGGGGGGGTCTACTTCTGAAACTAACAACAACAACAACAAACAACACTGTACCGCAAACAATAACGAGAATCCCCCCCTCCATTCACATGTTTACGATTTCGAACAAAAGGGTTCTAATTAAGCAAGATAATAATAGAGCAAGTCTAGATTTTTTTGGAGTTTAAATAAAACTCGAAAGATTTCTTTCACCTATGGGCGAGGTCTCTTGTTGTTGCTGCACGAAGGACACTTGTACTGCTTGATATGCTCAGCTTTAGCAGGAGTAATCTTCACACACTTACCGTGAAACCACTTTTCGCACAAGTCACAGCATATCCAGAATTCGTCCGATGCATAGTTATCTCCACATGCACCACATAATGTATCGCCATGCTCATCTTCTTCTTCATCATCTTCCTCTTCCTCTTCCTCTTCCTCTTCTTTCTTTTCTGCTTCCTCCTCATCTAACTCCTCTTCGTCGTCTTTCAGCTGTGGCTTCGAAATCTTTCCTTGAGTTTCGGGTGTTCGCTGTCAAAAAAGATAAGTAGCAATGTTATATGATCTCGTATAATTGAAATTTGAAGATTGAGAATACTTTTTAGCTGGCAGTAAAAGGAATATTTTTCAATGATAAGATGTACTAAGATAAGAGCTCAATTTTCCACAATCCGGCCCGAAAAGTTGTTGCAATAACTGAATATCAAACAAGACTGAATTATTTGATTAATCCTATGGCTTATCTTAACAACCAAACGACCGCTTAGTCAACTACGTCAGCATATAGATTATCAGGGAAAATGAAGATTGATTTGTACAGGGAAATTGATCACTATTAATTAAGTAAGAAGTAATTGGAGGATGGATAAAAGCACTGGCCCAGAATAAAATGAAGAATTAAGAAACCCTTTTTTTTCCTACCGATTTAGAGTTTGACTTGGGCTTGCTGCTACTATGATTAGAGACAGAAGATTTCTCCTTCTGCTGTTTCTTGGCTGCCCCTGTCACAACTTCAAATACAGTAGGGAGCTCATTAATCATGTTGAACAACCTTTTCCTGCACCAAGGACAAAAGATCGTTACGTAAGTTTAAGCAATCTACAGCAAACATGTCAGAAATCCAGAACAAAAGTACAGAAATATAAATGCAATTGCATATATAGCAAACACGTAGATTGCATATAGGATTGGCATCACCTTTCTGCATTTTGAGTGTAAATATTTTATAATCGATTTTTTAATAGAAATAGCATTAAAACCAACCCCTCTCGAAAAAGAAAGAAAAATAAAGAACAGAACATTAAAACCGACCTGTCAGATTTATCGAATCTAAATCTAGCACCGAAATAGAAGGCGACAGAAAGAAGCCAGGTGTCACTGTGGACAGCAACTAGAGATAGCCAGTCTTTCTCTTGCATTCCGTCTCTAGCAAAGTTGATGCCCAATGCAGGCTCAGGGAGTTCAGGTGGTACCTCTTCAGCTGGGAAATTGACCTCCCATTGCTCACTAGGAAACCCATACAAGCACAAATTCTCTTTTTCTGCAACACAGAATTAATGTCATGCATGAGGATGGAACAAAATAACAAAAAGATGAATATAGCTTCAAACCATGAAGAAGTACACGAAGACAACGATTATCTGTCGTAGAACTAAACAAGTCGGGAAGAGGGAACATGCTTAGAAAAAAAACTGATAATTTACAGGTAACTATTAAATTTTGTCAACGAAAACAGTTCAATTTACAGTAGTTTAACACATGGCAATATGCCTTATAGGGGCACGTACGATGGTCTGCCAAAAACATGATTCTCAGAGAAAAAGCATCTTATTTAATTTTTCCAAGGACAAAGATCCATATAGAAGAGCAAATCACCAACAGTCATTGTTCAAACAATCAATGGCTCACATAGAAGATATGTCGAAGACACAACGGAAGTCACTGAATACTAGCATTACAGACCACATATGCAATTTAAAGATTCCAGTAAAACAGTAGAGACCATCACACTGTATCCACCATATATATTTTAGAAACTTATAAAGATATAAAGTACTGATGAACAGCAGCTAAAAAAATTCTTCTTCTCTTCATTTTTTTTGAGTTACATGCACAACACGACATCGTTTTGTCTAAAGTTTCAACACAAAGCGCTGATGGCATTTAATTCCCACTTTTTATTTATTGACCTAATTTATTGTCCAACCAAATGCAGGGTCCGTTTCCCTTAACGATCAGCAGCACTTAGTTGTTTTATTAACTTTTTTATTTCCAATTCAATGTAACAAGTTATGGAAAGCAAATATAAAAGTAGCAAAAATGGGGGCAACCTTAATCATATTGGAACAGCGAGCTTTGTATGTTAATCTTCGTTACTGATTCTATCAATTTCATGCAGGCATACTTGAAAATGCTATTAATATCTCTATTTCATGCAGTTAAAAGTTGAATTTGGGTACTTGCAGTGATTGCAACATGTGAATTTGTAAATATTCCCTTATAATTCTTCTGTTTTTCCGATTAACGATTACGGGACTTTATATTTGTAAGTAGTTGAATTAATAACTTTGTGGCTTCATAATATTCCTTATCTGCTTGAAATACAAATATCTCATGCACCGCTAGTTGACCTCTACAACTGAATTTTAAGGGTTTGATATGATATGACACGCGTCATAAGGTCGGAGATCTTACCAAAGATCGATTAAGACTTATGTACGATATAGAAGTAACTTGATTTGGAAATTTAATAATACAATTCACCGAAAGTCGAAATGAACTCATTTCGTAAAGATGATCATATATCAAGGTTAAATACACATTATGGTTATCAAATTTTGATGAGTGCATTTAATTAACTACGTATTCACTAAATGTATCATAACTCGTAAGTTAAGGAGTGCCTCGGAAACGAGGTGGTTGCTCCCAAACCATGGTGCTACTTAATATGCCATATTTTCATCTACCATGAACATCTTATAAAACTAGCATAAACAACTTGCTACCGACAAAGCAAAGAGATAACAGAATTAGATGCAAACATCAGAAGAACAAGTGAAACACATAATTGTTCATATCATGGGCTACCACTTTATACGTGAATTTTTTTAGCCTTCAAAATATTAATATCAATACTCGTATTCATATCAATACTCAAGCTATGGTGATTTCCTTTTACACACATATTATTATGATCAATAAGCTCAAAACCACATATGTGTCGACTGTCGGCACAGAAATGTAATTCTCATACAGGAAGCATTTACTCATGAATTAACTCAATAAATAATAAAACCACACAGAGAACTCAATGAACACAGAAACGCCATGGAAACCACATCGAGAAAATTACACACGTTAATTTAAAACTCACAAATCAAAATCCCAATTTAACCTAATTTCTCTCTAGATAATTCATGAAAATAGATACTTCTCCATAAGATTAAAGTAGGGCAAACATATTACCAGAATTCAGTCAAAATTGGAATGAGCTAAAAAAAATCCAAAAAATAACACAAGCAAAGAGAAAATACCTGGATCACACTGCTGGTAAAATTCTTCAACATCTGCAACGCAAAACCTCTCGCATTAAGAAATTAACAAATACAAAAGAAACGCTGACGCGCAGAAAATCAAGCCAAAAAAAAATTATCATCGTACCTCAGCAAAATTGAGAAGAAAAAAATTCAAAACGAAAAAAGATGAAGAAGAAGACGAAAACCTGTCGTGAGGGCTTTGATAAGTCCAGTTCTTCTACCCTTGAAATCCTTGAAAACTTCTTCAACAGTTCTCGGATTGTACCCCGCCTCCATTTTTTGTTCCTTCTTTTTTGGTTCTCTCGAGCTCAAATTTACAAAACGGAAAAACAAAATTAAAAAAAGTGAGAAATTCAGGAGAATTTTGGGGAGGTTTTACAGAAGGGGATATATATATATGTGTGTTTGTATATGTATATGTAGAGAGAGAGAAAGAAGAGAGAGAGAGAGTGCGGATTTGAATCTAATAAGGATGGACGGGTTTAACTATATTTGAGAATTCGCTGATGTGTCCGACGAACCCTGAATTAAATATTCCACTTTCCTTTTTTCTGTATATAATTTCATTATTTTATAATTTATTACTGATTTGGCATAAAATCTGTATCTCATTAAATTGAACATAATTAAAAAGTAATTCCTGAAATTGTATTTATTATTATTAGTATTTTTATAAAATCAGTATCTCATTAAATTGAACATAATTAAAAAATAATTCCTGAAATTGGATTTATTAAGGTTGGTTTCTTAATTAGCGTTTTTTTAAAACAAATTCAATTGTTTTTGTAAGTAAAAATCTAATTTCAATCCATCAGAAAAATCAGAAATCAGAAATTGAAATTTGGATAATTGGAACTAGAAAACTTGTCCCAAAACTTTCTCCGGGTCAAAGTTGATGGAAAGCGAAAATTTAATTTTTTACTCATCTATAATTTAAACACAAATAGTATTTGATATTGTAAATGTGATTTGCGGAAACAATTGAAATTTTCGGACATTAAAATAGGGTCAAAAGTTGGAAATTTTTGAAATTCGGAATGAAATGTTTTTCTCCAAAAGAATAGTTGAAATTCGAAAATCTAATTCCAATTTTCACCCCTACTCCAAGTTATACATACCATCAATTGTATTTCCATGCCTGTAATTAACACACACATGTATATCTAAATGTCTGTAAGATTCCATGCATCTACACACGAAAGATGTAATTCGAGGAGTGTAGCACGAACAAAACAACTAGATGGAGTCGAACGCGAACTTGCTAACATCAATTATTTTTTGTTTTAATTATAATTTCATAGAGAAGACTGTTCATAATTCATGCACACCTAAATAAGTAATTAATTTACACTTTTTTCTCCTTTTGATAAATCATTCAATACGTACATGTATTTATACTATTCTTCTTGGTTATTTACTTAGTAATAGTATAATCAATAGTAGTTTTATGGATTGTATGATGTAATATGATGATAAATTTATTGATTTTAACTTGCAAAAGCACTAATAAAACGTGCAGCAAAAACAAATCAGAGCTGGGTGAGGGGGTGGGGGTGAAGAGATGGGGGTGTTCTATTTACAAACCAAAACAAACTCAAAATCACTATAAAAATCAATAATTCCACAGCGTAAAAAACCGAAAAGAGAAAAAAAACAAAAGAACGAAAAAAAAAAACCGGAAACCACAAAAAAAAAAAAAAAAAAAAAAGAAAATGTAGCAATCTCCATGTTAGAACATCAAAGATACTACAGGAAATGGTCAGTGTACTAACTTCTAATATATGTTGACATATCCTTGAAAAAAGAAAAAGAAAAGAATAAATCCTATAGGGGCACAGGTCAACGGTCATCTCCGGGTCAACGCAATTTTCGCGTGCTTTGTCACCATTGATCAATACTCCCTTCCCTTGTACTGCATTTCCTACACAATTGAATTGTACAGAAAAAAATCCTTGTTATAGTAATTGTACTTCGAGTGAGTGTTACTCATTTTCCCACAACGATGCAAACGTAATAATACTAAAAACGCCTTGTTTGGCAATAGGATTGATAAGATTGATTGGATTAGTTAGGATTAAAATTGTCTATGGTAATACAATATAATATCAATACGTTGTTATCGTATGTCTAAAATTAGTGATTATACAATCCTTATATTGGGTAATATCTGGGGGTTGGGGGCACTAAATAAATCTGGGCCTACTTTTTATCAAGGGTTCAAAATTTTCAACCTCAAACATTTGGCAAACCTGGATTATATTATCTATAAAGCCCTATCACAATTAACAAACAAGGCTTCACAGTAGGAACAGTCTTGTAGTAGAAATAACACCGTACGTACAGACAAACATAGGACAGTTAAATTATCTTACCTGCGGGTAGGCAGACATGTACAAGACTGGTGGTCGAGGCTGTCCAATCATCATCTGCTGCCCATACTGCATCGTGAATTTGAAAAATCCAATTAAACTTCTGTATTATAATACTACAACTTAGGCAAATTACTACAGGCAGAACCACATAGTAAAACAAACCTGCGGTCCATTTGGATGATAATATTGCTGTGGCATTTGTCCACCCTGTGGATTGAACATAAGAGGCTGCTGTGCAGCAAACGAAGGCCCCATCTGCAAAATACACGATTCCCCACGATAATTAAAGCCAGAATAGCAACAATAAATTACAAGAAATTATACTTTCTTAGCAGTAACAACTACAATGAATAAGAAAGTGTTCCGATAGATTATGATCCTTCTTCTCATTATTTCATTAACGGGTAAAAAAGGTCCGACATTCTACAACCTATCTTGCTTTTCCTCTTCATTTACTCTCTTTTTCTTATCTCATTATTCGATGGGTACCACAAATAATTTATTTTTACCAAACGGGAACTTGCATTATTTTCTATAACAAATATTAAGACCTATGAGTAATGTAGATATTTTATTTTCCATACTTTTCCGTTTTTTACAACTGCAATAGAAACTCCATACTTACCCCAATACCAACAGGCATTCCATGCATCTGAGACACAGGTGCCACATTAGCTGGATAGTAGAATGGACTATCAAGAGCTGGAGAAGAAGGTCTCAAAGATGCCTGAGTTGGGACAAAACTCTTTGCATTCGGATTGAATTTAAATTCCTGCCACGCAATCAAATGGCAAGAAAATAATTAATTTAAGCAGAAACATGGTTGAAAAATTAAATTTTCAATTTCTATGATCCCACCTTGGCATTCGGATTCAGGGACGACTTTTCTGAGGACAAGGAACTAACAGATGGACTGGGCGAAAATCCTCTGGTAGCGGAAGTTGAAACAGCGCCTCCACAGTCGGAACTGGATGATGCAGAACTACCGGGTCGGCCAAGATTAGTTGCGGACACTTGTATTTTGGAGGGTATTGGCTCCCCTGGCAGCTCATTAGAAGAATTCGCTTTTTCCTGACCTTTGGATGATCTAAGTGATGGATCGAATGCTGTAGCATTTGGAGACAATGCAACCTTATCAGAGCTTTCTTTCTTTAATCTCAATAATGAATCTGAATCAGTGAACACAACAGTATTAATGTTAACTGAATGAATGTAAGATGAAACAACGTGGCAGAATCAAACACCATCCATAACGAGCAAATCGAAGATGCATAACACAACGTAGTGATTCTATAAGACATTAAAAGACTCATGTCTAATTCCAGCTCACTGCACCTAATGTAGATCTTAAAAGATCAATCAGTTACATAAAACAAGATCTCGAAAGATTAAGGAATTCAATTTATTTTTTCCTGAACACAAATGATACCTAATGTTTGCACATTCACCACTGCAAAATTTTGGAATTTTTAAAAAATTGAAGATCTTGTCATCGGCAACCAAGAGTAAAAGAGTCACATTACGAATAGTACATGATTTGAACCACCAAACATATCAGATGGGCAAAGAAGATTTTCTTTTCCGCTCGTAAAAAATGACAGCTTATCAAACATTTCTAAAGACAAGAGAAATAGAACAACCACGGTCAATCAATAGAAAAATAACACTCTTACTTATCAGCCCTTTCACCTTAAAATTAGAAAATATAACTGAGAGAAAATGTCACATCCAGAAAAACAAACAGTACTATCAGGAACAGACGTAACCGCACAAATACGGCAATTTACTCACCCTCAGATTTTGATGATCGACTCTTATCAAGTACCTGCAGGATAAAAGAAATGATTGTGAGGAAGTAACTTTTAACAATGAAACCGGGCCAACCACAGAGCAGTAGAAGAAAACTAACCAATTGCTTTTCTTTATCCTCCTTAGAGTAACTACTTTCGGCATCTCCACTAAATTGGTTATCATGAACCCTGAGAGAGAAGATATAACCCATTTAGGTACTTGGGGGAACTTCTTGATTAAAAATAAGAAATATCATCATCTCAAAATTCATAGTTTTTATACGACTTTCTTATTTGGTTTGTTCATTAAATGATCCATAATACCAGACCACCATTATTAGATATTAGATGATAGGGGAAAACACCTGCTTGCATCAATCAAAGAGGACTGTTTATGAAGCTGTTCAGTTGGCAGCTGTGGACCATGATTAATAGAACCTGAATGATAGCTATCCCTGACCAAAGCAGTCAAAGAAGACTGCACGTCGCCCTACAACAAGAAAACAAATATTAATGATAACATATAGATTCAATATCCAACAATGAACAGCAACAAACTTAATAAAAAGCTTGATGCAAACAAGGGATAAAAGCAATTCAAAAAATTAAATACTGTAGATAGAATAGTGACATGGACAACTGGAAGAAAACCCTTCAATCATGCTGATTAGTTTCACAATAGAATACCTCACCAATCCCTTTCAATGCAAATCTGCTCACACTTAACTCAATAAACTGCTATTACGTTTACTTCTTTGGGAGGAAATCTCATCAAAGATCAAGAAGAAGCAACAGTATAGATGCATGCATTATCCTAAACACAAGAGTCACATGATAATTCTGGTATTGCAGTCTGAAAGTGCATTGGAACCAAATTATTAACGAAGATAAAAGAAATAGCGAATTAAAATTCAGAAACTCTGGTGGATTTTTAAACTAACTATTATGAACAGCTCCAACGATTCCAACCAACAAAAGGTCTATAGAATAAATCGTTTGCCGCACATAATAAACTATGCAACTTGAGTTGTCCTTCTCTTTAAACATTTAAAGCATCATTGAAAAATCAAGCAAAACAAGTGGTTAGGAAGTACCATAAGAAAAAAAAAAGAGAGAAACACCTAAAGCGGGCAAATATTATGATAACTATTGACTCTCTGCTTGACAATAAAGAAAAACTACCATTGATAGAAATCTGGAGGACGTTTGAGTTCCATCACTAGTTTTCCTGATACTCGTGTCTGTCAGAGGTTTGCCAATAACAGAACTGGAGACACCTCCAAATGTTTCATCATTTCGGGAATCTAACAAGATGTTCTCAATCTCGTCATATCCACTGTCATCAACTATTCCCCGGTACACTGAAGAAAATCGTGTTTCTTCATCAACTTCAAGATCTCCATCAAGTTGCATACCTCTCTCCTAAGATAACAATACAGTTAGAATGAAGGAAAGACAAGACAGAAGGCGAAAAATTGGTAGTAAGGTCTCAGTCTAACCTCTGCTAAATGAAGATCACGGGTTTCCTCGCCCTCAATCTCTCTAGCAATCCGCATAGCTTCTCTTTCCAATTCTCTCGTCTGAGGGCCTCTCTCGAGCTTTGTTGTGTAAAGTTCCTCGTTGAAGGTGCTCGTCACTCCAAACAAAGCCGCATTTGCTTCGAACTGATCCCAGCCTCTGATGCATAATTACAATAATTGTATGAGTCAACACGGTATCACATAAACAAGGATGTCAAATCACAATCATAGAACTTTGCCATGCGAGAAATGACTATTCAACAAGATGAACACAACAATAACTTATCCATGGAGTATAAAGAAGTTACAACACCAACTACTACATGGTTTACTCTAAAGGGAAATCTCTGGTGTTATCCTAATGATCATGTCGGCTAGAAACAATCATAAAATTTTATCTGAAATTCAGAGAACATATGTAATTCCCAACCTATTCCAAGGGTTGTTGAATATGTCATCCAATCCAGCACAACTAGGATCATTTTCATCAGGCATCCAAGGCTCCAATTCTCTCCCCGCATCTACATGACGGGACTGTGATATGTACGAATCTGTCATAATCTCTTGCTGCTTTTCATGTTGGAGCTCGTTTGTCAGGCCATCCCTAGTTACAGGCACTCCCTGTTCCAGTTCGACAAAGAAGCTAGTTAATTACACAACTTCCAATAAAACTATCATAGGAAACAGCAATTTCATAATGCTGATTCAGCGACCCAAATCTAACAGCAAAAGTAACAAAATAATTCAATGAAAGGACATAATAACACCTTTGCTATCACTTGTACAAGATCCTTAGCTGGTATGATAAAAGTTTTAGCAGGAGGCTTGCTAGGAAAGTCCAAAATACTTTTCTGTCCTCGAGAACCATCTTTAAGTAAGTGAGCCATTTTCAAAACAATTCCTGCAACACAAAAATGCATGTCAAAAGAATATATATATATTCTTTTATATATATATATATATATATATATATATATATATATATATATATATATATATATATATATATATATATGATTCAAAACAAGGATATATCGAGCTATGGTACTCTTATCACAACATCACCAAAGAACAATATATCAGCATACCAAAATCCTCTGCATTTGTCGCGTGAAATATTCCAGAAAATATAGATCCATCCAGGACCTGGACTTCCACTTGATGCCCGATGAGACATGTAGTCAAATACATTAATCGGTCACGTGAAGGTGATTCAAGCCCCCCTAATTTACCAAAAATCAATTAAAATTCGGAATACAGAAAAGAAAATATTAGAGTTGTTACAGTTTAGAGGGGTGAACTCTTACCAAAATTAGTCCTGCTATAATTTGTTTTACCGCCCTGAGACTTATTATCGGACCTAGTCGCAGCATCTTTTTCAACTTTACGGCGGCCATATCCATTAGACGAAGAAGATGAAGAAGAGGAAGATCTGGGCTGCGCAACTTGCTGCATATTCATCTTCAAAAGATGAGATCAAGTGTATGCAGAATGCAGATGACTTAGGCGCTGCTGGTTCAGACAACTGTAAAGGTAGAAAAACTGTATACAGATTAAGTCTCTGATGAGGCACGTGGAAACTCGAATACAAATAACATAATATAAAACTCAAGGCATGCAACAGCTCTGTTTGACAATAACGAGAAATTTTATGTTGCTGGCAATTTACTGCAGATACTAAGCAACACAAACACGTGTATTCCCTTTTAGATCAGGCAAACAGCCCAACCCTCAACCAACTCTAGGGCGCAGAAACTAAAATAAAACTCGTTATCTTAACATACTTCCAAAACGATATGACAGCATCTACAAAATTGGCCAATGATAATAGTCCTCACCTAAATATATATATAACAACAATCCCTCAACCCAGGCAACTATGCGCACACCGTAGTATAATGATCAGCAATTTTCGAAGTGTTCTCTGCAACCAATGT